GATGTTGTTGTATACCACCGGTAATGAAGAGAAGTGTCCTTAAAGTCTTTGACCAAGAGATCATTGACATTGTGTTACCAATCATCATCTACATGCTCCTCATCATCCTCCTTGCATCTGGTACAGTCTCTCTCTCCACCATCTTCACTTGATTAATTCTTATCTACCCTAATTGCTGCTAAAACCTTAATTTACCTCTTTCCCGCGGACACCCCCCCCCCTCCCCACCCCTCGATCCTACCACAAAATAAAACTCATTCGCTCCCACCTCTGAGCCATAGTTTGCATGTCCCTTAATAAATAATGTTGAATTCATCCTTTTAATCCTCTATTACTACAATTGTACTGATTTCTTCAAAGCTTATTAACAATTATCTTTGCATATTGGAAATACTCAATGATTGTTTGCATGCCTTGGTTTAGAAACCCAAGTTGACCTTTTAACTGATTGTGAACGTCATATGCGGGCTTGGCATAAGTTTTGGCCATGGTTGTCCAGGCTTCACTGGATGTCTCTAAAGATGCGATGATCCAGCTATGACATTTAAAATATACTGATCTTGACAAATATGAAAACACACTATGAATTTGTAGTTTCCCTCTCATTATCTTTAATTGAGAGTCATAATAAAGCTTGTGAAATAAAATAGGATGAGTGTGCATAAAATTAAATGTTAGAGAAAAGTGTTAGAAGAATGAAACTAACATTTGGATATATTTGAAAAGAAGAGATCATGGTAGTAGGTATAATAGGAACATTTGAAAAGCTTAAGAAAAAGAAATATAATTAATCACAACAAAGAAATGGGAAATAATTACTCAAAACGTTAGAAAAGGAATTCAATTGAAAGCTCTATAAATTGATTATAGTGCAAATTTGATGAGTTTTTTTTTCTTTATGATCATAATAACTGTATGGAGAAGAAAGAAGAAAAAAATAATAATAACCTTATATTTCAATTAATTTTTTAATGAAAATTTTTTGTACCAATAAATTAAGATTGTTTTGGGCTTTCAGTGGGGCATATAGTTCGATCAGTAAGATCCATAGTAGAGTTGTAAACGAGCGGAGTCAGGTTCTTGCTTTATAGAGCCAAGTTTGTCTCCAGTGAATAATATGACACTCGAGCTCAATATAGAAATCCGAGATTGACTTGTTTTGAAGCTTATTTTAAATATGGACAAAAATTAATTAGTTATGCTAATACAAATATTGATGTATTACTTAATATTAATCGAGCTGACTCAATAAGCCGAAGAGCCGATTTGGGCGTAGCTCAAGCTAGCTCTTATAGTACATGAGCTTGAATTTAAACTTGAACTCAAACTCGTTACTTGATAAACTCAACTCACAACTTTGTTAGCAAGTTGAGTTCGAACCGACTTAACTCACTTGCAACCCCTAGTCAATGATAATATTATGATTTATTTATTTTTACAAAATGTGTCATTTAATTATATATATGATTTGAAATAAAAAATAATTATTTTTACTAACATTTAAAAAAGAAATCTGATAAGCGCGTTATTTCTCTATAAAAAAACGAACCATTGCGAATTGCATACAAAATGAGGATATATAATATATATAACAAAAAATGGAAGACATTTAAAATTGATATATATTATAATAATTTAATTATTCTCAATACAGTAAAACAGATGAACCAACCAAAGATGTTCAATGGAATGATAACATCTTGGTAT